TTTTCACAAAATTCAGTTATAAATAAACCTCTTCATTGGCGCAGCATCATTAATAAACTACCTTCCAAGTGGCCACTGGAGAATGTGCATTGTGATTTATTCTCACATTCTTGGAATTCATTGAAAGCTGTAAAGTTTCTTCACTTAGTGCATCATTATTAATCTATTCTGTGTTACGGGCAAAGTGTTTAATTGCATGGCATGCATTTGCACTGAAGGGTGCGCAGCTAGGCTGTTATGTTGCCAAGAGGGTGTAAGCCATAGGTATTGTGTAAAGAAGTGACAAGGGAGGTAAAGCACATGAGTTGATCTGGACCATAAGGGATGAGGAGATTGAGATAAATGCTGGGCCTAATGAAAGGGAAGGAGGAGTCAGAGATATCGTAAGAAGAAGGGTACAAGTAGCTATGTGGTGAAATGAAAGGTTTTGAGTGAACTGCTGTGATAATGGATAATTCAAGGGAGATAAGAAGAAGAAATTAATATACGTGTAAGAATATAATATCATGAGGACATTGAGAAACTGAATACTCAGTTGTTACTGCATGACATGCCTACAGATGTGTTCCACAAACAGTAATGTATTTGATGTGTCAGTGTTATTTATATTGCCCTAATACTTTTACATAATTCTGCTTGTTCTAATATGGAGTCTTTTAATGTTTATTCAGCAACCTGGAACTTTCAGTGGTTCACTACCTTCTGTGAGTGCAGAAGGGACTCCTCTGTCGTACCCAGACATCAGCGCAAGGTGAGAGAACATAAGATTTATATTCTTCAAGGTGTCCACTGTGCTACTTCATTTCTGGACATAACAAAATAAAGCATTTGGTTACTATCAATTCAAGAAAATAATATCAGTAATGTTGGTATATTTAAAAAATGCTCATCACATGAAATTTCATACTTATTTTTTGTGCATCACATAATGTCCATTACATGAAGTGTTCATTTGTCCTACTAAATGCATTATAACTGTGAAACAAAAGAAAGGGCCAATCTTTACAGTTTCAAAAATTAAACCACTTTATAATGTAATGTGTTATGAAACTCTACACAAGCTGTATAAAGTGAAGCTTTCATGGTGATTGAAGTTGATGAAAGACTCTCGAGCCACATGCCGCGTCAGGTGGCTGAAAGGTAAATAAACCGTATATTCTGCCCAATGTTTCGAGAACAATCTCCTTTCTCATCCACAGCAACATCATTACTTATAAAATCTGAAAGTTCGTGATGATGGTGAGTTATTTGAATAGAAATTTCCTTGGATATTTTCCATTGTCTAGTTTATTTTATTATTTTACTACATCATTACTACCTGCCATCCACTGCCAGTTCCCATCAGCTAGTGTGCAACAAAGGAACGGACTGGTTACCCAGCAGCCCTCAGGTCGAGAGCAGAGATTGTTCTCGAAATGTTGGCGGAAGATATGGTTTATTCACCATTCAGCCACCGGATGCAGCTTGTAGCCCGAGAGTCTTTCATCATCTACACAATGTGTGTCAAGTGTTTTCTTGTTGAGTGACTGCTTTTTTACAGTTGAAAAAGTTGTTTCTTTCTGGCATTTCAGATGCTATATTTTAACAGTACATATGCACTGCCTTTTCTGCCAGCTCTATGTAAATCACCTTGTATTTCATCTGTACGTATGCTTAAGGATAACAATGATCATTGCTGAAGCTGGGGACAGAAAGATTATTTCCAATTATAGAAATATCTGTGAAGTTTTGTTAGACACAGTATTCAGTACCATATTTCACAGTCTGTGTGAAATACAATCATATTAGTTTAAATAAGTAACAAGAGTGTAGTAAGACAATTTTTTAGAAGATGTACAGAATGTGATCCATCAGTAGTTATCTGTATTGATATATTAAAATAAATAAGTAAGTTCATAATCATCATACTACTTAAGACTGACACATAAACTATATTGACAGTAGTGTAGAAAGAATACATACCAGAGTTCACATCTGAAGATTAAGAAAGGTTGAGAACTATAAACATTTCAAACACCATGCGAGTACGAAGCCCAGAGCAATCGGTTTCTGTAGAATGATTTCTTAGACGCTCGTCTCACTGTTCGCAACTTGTTGCTTTCTTTGAACATCTAAAATCATTCAAAACCTCATGTTCTTGGCATAGCTTCATCATCAGGGAAGATTCTCGGCAGGTTTTACCATCCCTTTCTCAGAATTTAAGAATAATTGTTTAAAAACTTGATGCTAATTTGTTTGGCAGACATTGGGTGCATATTTTACAATATCCACCAGAAACAGAACAAACTATGAGCACACCTACACCCGCCTACACTGAGTTAATGAGTTATGGAAATAGTTTCCATGGCTGCAATCCATCAGCATTACCTTATGTCTTAAAAAAAAATTCTATCTAGAAATGTTTCAGTCACACATCATATATAATTCTTTTGATCATGCAAAAATTAGTCTTCTGCAATTAACCTTTCAAATAATTAAAATTTGAGGAATTATGCTATCCACATGTTCCTGCCTCTGTAGCATAATACTATAAAACTTATTATTTATGTAACCAATTAAATTATTATATAACCAAACTGAGAACCTAATGTGACCACAAACCTAACCTCATTTCCATTTATACCTCTTACCAGTTGTACACACTTTTTCCTGGGATATCTTCTATATTCATTCACTTCAGATTACCTTCATGTGCATTTGTATACAACTGATGTGTAATTACCATTGCAGACCTGAGAGGTCTCCAATTACAGCCCAGTAATTTTGTAGA